GCGGGTGAGCCTTTCCTGACCGAAGTCAGGCCTTGCTCCCTCCTTGCCTGGACTCCCCGTGGCTCTCCCCATGGCTCTCCCCGTGGCCACCAGGCTGCAGCTTCCCGCTCCGGCCTCCCTCCCCCTCCTTCCCTCTTCTCAGCCACAGCAGCTCCTGGCATCAGGAGTGCTGACCTTCCCGGAGCCCCCCAGCCAGAGATGCTGGCCTGCCGCCAGCCAGCGAGGAGCGGACAGCCGCAGCACGGTGGTCAGCGGGATGCCCGAGTGCGGGCTGCACCAGGGCTCATGTGCTTAGCGCCTCGCTGAGCCTGAGCCCCACGCGCAGGTGTGCTCAGCCGGCAGCCGGCAGCACAGGGGGGACTGTCTCTGCGTGCCGGGGCTGCGGGCCCGAGCTCTGCCCTCCCCCAGCAGTCCGGGAGGCAGGGCACTGGTGGGCCGGTGCACGCGGCTGACTGGGATCCGGCCCGAGGCCCTTCTCACACCGCTTCCTGGCCCGGGCCCTGGCATGGAGCCGGGAGGGTGGGCTGCAGGCACCTCCGGACTGTGGGAACGGCATGCAGAGTGATGATGGTGGCCTGTGTCGATTATCTGGAGAGTAACTATACAAGGGAGACCCCACCACAGGACACCCCCGCCAGGCCCTGTCTCGGGGGGCAGGTGCACTGTGCTGGGGACGTGGACTGTTCTGGGAGCAGGATAAGCGTGCGCGGGGAGCGGGCACCGGTGTGTGTGTGTGCGTGTGTGCGCTGAGTGTGCATGGGGAGCGTGAGCTGGTGTGTGTGTGCGTGTGTGCACTGAGTGCACGGGGAGCGTGAGCCGGTGTGTGTGCGTGTGTGTGCTGAGCGTGCGCGGGGAGCGGGCGCCGGTGTGTGTGCATGTGTGTGTGTGCTGAGTGTGCGCGGGGAGTGGGCGCCGGTGTGTGTGTGTGCGTGTGCGCGCTGAGTGTGCGCGGGGAGCGTGAGCCGGTGTGGGTGCGTGTGTGTGTGTGCTGAGTGTGTGCAGGGAGCGTGAGCCGGTGTGTGTGTGTGTGTGTGCGTGTGCGCGCTGAGCATGCGCGGGAAGCGGGCGCCGGTGTGTGTGCGTGTGTGTGTGCGCTGAGTGTGCGCGGAGAGCGGGCGCCGGTGTGTGTGTGCGTGTGCGCGCTGAGCGTGCGCGGGGAGCGGGCGCCGGTGTGTGTGTGTGCCTAGTGTGCGCGGGGAGCGTGAGCCGGTGTGTGCGTGTGCGTGTGTGTGTGTGCGCGGGGAGCGTGAGCCGGTGCGTGTGCGTGTGCTGAGTGTGCACGGGGAGCAGGCGCCGGTGCGTGTGCGCGGGGAGCAGGCGCTGGTGTGTGCGTGTGCATGTGTGTGTGCGCTGAGTGTGCGCGGGGAGCGGGCGCCGGTGTGTGTGTGCGTGTGCGCGCTGAGTGTGCGCGGGGAGCGTGAGCCGGTGTGTGCGTGTGTGTTGAGTGTGCATGGGGAGTGGGCGCCGGTGCTTGTGCGCGGGGAGCAGGCGCTGGTGTTGCGTGTGCATGTGTGTGTGCGCTGAGTGTGCGCAGGGAGCGGGCGCCGGTGTGTGTGTGTGTGTGCGCGCTGAGCGGTCGCGGAGAGCGGGCGCCGGCGCCCTGCAGGGTACTCGCTCTTCTGCCAGGCGCAGCTCGCGCAGTGGGCAGGGCGTTGAGGGTTCCTGGTGGCCTCTGTCCTCGTGGGGGCTTGGCTGTGAGCGCCTCTCCAAACAGAGACCTGCTAGGTCTGTAAATAAGTGCCACGTGGTGTGGCTGCCTGGGCAAAGTTGAGTCCCAGCGGAGCTGCCTGCGGAAGGGGGTGTGGGCTGGACGGTGCACAGTGGACGCTGCTGGGCAGGTCATCCTCTTGCGTGAGGCGCAGGGGTTCACTCTTGGTGCTGACCCTGCCGCCGCTCCCGGCCTCCCTGTCTCTCCGCCGGGCCTGGGAGTGGCGGTGCCGGCTCGTAGCGTGGCCACCCCGCCGTCCCCACCCTCGTCTGCTGGAAGCACACGCACCACTTGCCAGACCTTCTGTTGGACTGGACGTCAGCGCTGTTTGTCTGGTTTTCCCTTCGGGCACCCTGACGCAGGGCGCGGCGCGAGGCTGTCCAGAAATCTCGTGTGCTTTTGCCTTTAAATCCGTCTACCTTTCTACTTACTGAAAACGGGCCTGAGTTTAAGTCAAGTCTGATGGTTCTTCGGAAGCCGCACGCAGACCAGCCAGATGGTGTCCTGAGGGCCCTGGCGTGACGGCTGGGAGTGCCGGCCCGGGCACACTTGCCCAAAGCCCGCTGGTGGTCTGCAGGAGCCCCCTGCGTTCTGGTCCGTTTGGACTCTCAGGAGTGTCTAGAATCTTCTGACGGTGTTTTGTGCGCCACCGTTCTCTGCGTTTACGCGTCTCTTCGAGGGCCGGCACTCCGAGTTGGTGCTCGCTGAGCGGAAGTCCCACCGGGCAGGGCAGGTCAGGGACCAGGAGGGAGGCCATCAGAGCAGATGTGCTTGCGCCTGGCACCAGCAGACAGGCCTCGTCCGTGCTGACTTTTTTAGGATTCCAGCAAATTTGGACGTCTGGTTGGCGTCCCTGTGCCAGGAAGGTTAGAAGCAGCTACTTAGCAAAAAGGGAGAGACACAGGCCCACTGGCCAGGCCAGACAGAAGACTTTCCAAAGCCACCAGAACACCCCTAAAGGCCCATGAGTCGGGGGAGCTGCCGTGGGCCGGGCCCCGAGGGCATGAGCAGGCTTGGGCCCCAGGCAGGTCACGAGGGGAATGTGGACGCCCACGTAGGGATGCACGCGGTTGAGCCTGCCACTGCGTCCAGGTGGCCACGTGCCCTACCACCTCTAGCGTCTCAAGGACGCCAGGCCTGTCCACACGGGTACGACGTGAAGTCCAGTCTCCTCTGTAAGATACGCGCACTTCCCCCATCATTTTACCGTGGGGACTCTCAGACCCCCGGCAGGGTCGAAGGACCACACAGTGGACACCCCAGCCTCGCACTTCCTGGCACAGCCCTCTGCTGTTCCCCACAGGCCCTTCAGCTGGCAGGTCATTAACAACTAGATTCTGGTATTTGCTACGTTGCTCGTTTCCCTTTTGTGGGAAAATTGGCATAAAACAAAAGACACAAGTATCAGTGGTACCATTTGGGGAGTTTTGCCATATGTGTGCATCTCTGCAACCAGACCTCCCAGCAGGATCTGGGCGACACCAGCCTGCGGCCCTTCTGGTCAGGCCGCCCCCTGCCCCTGAGGCACCCACTGTCCGAGGACTCCCATCGGTTAGTCTGGCTTGTTCTGAGCGTCCGGTAATGGGAAGCCCTGGTCTGTAAGATTTGTGTCACTAGGCAAGCTTTTGGACCCGTCCATGTTGTGTGTACCATGAAATGGTCGCTCCATTGTAGGAACGTGTGACCGGCCACGGGTTCTGCTGTCGGTGGACATCTGGGCCCTCCGTGCCTTTGGCTGTTGGTGTGAGGCTCGTGCGTGGACGCGGGCTTTCGTGTCCGTGGGTAAATACCTTGGTGCGGAGTAGCTGGTCACAGGCAGGTGTGTGGTCAGGGTTACAGGAAGCTGTGGCCTTTCTCCAAAGCGGTTGTTCCGTGGTACCCCGCCGGCAGGTGCGTGGGTTGGGGTGGCCCCCATCCTTGCCAGCATTTGGTGCCGTTGGGGGGCACTTTGTCAGCATTTCTCGGATAACTAACGAGGGCGGGTTCTTGTCATGTGCTCATGAACGCTATGCTTCTCTTGAAGTGTCTGTTCAAAACTTCTACCCGTTACTTGGCTTTTATTTTATCTTTTGAACAGACTTCATCTCTCAGAGCAGTTGTAGGTTAAAGGCAGAACGGTGCGGACTTCCCCATCGCCCCCCAGTGCGCACACAGAGTTTCCCGGTCCACGCCTGCACAGCTGTGCTGGGTGTCCCCGTCGGTGGGGGCCCCGTGTTGCCATGATGGCGGCTCACCGGGCACCTGCCCGTCCTGTGCCCTCGGTGCCCGTGGCTGTGACATCATATGGAGGCTAACTGCCCTGTTTGTCCCTGGGCCCCGCCCCCACCCCTGGCAGCCACTGACCCGTTTACGTCTCTGGAGCTTTGCCTCCGGGCCTGGGCTCGTGCGTCTGTCTCGACACCACGGGTTTCCGCTCGCTCCCGTAGGACGGCTCCTTCTGCTCCCTGCTCTTCTTTCCGCACCTGGTCCCGCCAGCGAGCGGGTCAGTCTGCACCTGCACCTTCTGTCGTCTTGTGGCGACCCTCCCGCCCGAGCGCGTGCCTTCAGGGACCGAGAAACGGGGAGCCTTTTATTCAGGACCTTAGAGGTCGTGGTGGGGTGTCTGGGACCTCGCGGACCTGTGGCATCGGGGACTTCTTTCTTCTTCTGTGTTTGGGCCAGGGTCTCGCCCCCGACACCGGGTCTGGTCTGACTCCCGTTACCGTCTCAAAGCCACGGCAGACCTGTGAGCAACGTGACGTCTCGCTGCGCCCGACCAGGTGCCTCACTCGGCGTGTGGGTGCGTGTGTCCCGCTGGGTGCCAGATCACGGAGACTTAATCTGGTTACTCCTTAATCACCTGCCGAAGGGTGAGGACGGGTCCCAGAGTCCCCGTGGCTGTCCCCTCCAGCACCGGCACCGTGGAGGTGCCCGCCGGCCACCAAAGGTGGCCCACTGTGCGTGTCTGTCCCCCAGGAGCCACGCGCCACGGGGCAGATGCCACACGCTGTGCCTGGCGGGCTCTCAGTGGCTGCTCGAGGGATGGCGTGAGCGTCCCATGCTTCTGGGCGTGCCCCACGGGCGGGGGGCTGCTCTGTGAAGGCCACGCGTACTCTGAGGGCTCTGCCACTGGCCCTGGGAGTGGTCCACAGGTTCCAGTCAGCCCGATGCCTCACTCCTCCTGGGGGATCCGTGCCGAACTCGGATTCACACCAGGGTCCTGTGCCACATATTCCGTCTGCGCCTCAGGGAAGGGGTTGGGCAGCCGGAGCCTGTGGGCTTGGGTGCAGACATTCCTTGACTCCTGCCACAGACATGCTCCTCGACCTCAGTGACCTGCTCCAGGTAGACTGGTTTCCTTCCTGAGCCCCGTTCCCAAGGGAGGCTGGGACTGGGGTTTGTGCTACCCAGGCTGGAGGCTGGTCCACAGAACAGAGGACACACCGGGGTGTGGTCTGTTTCAAAACCGGTGGGGGGGGGGGGCGTAAACACAGGGTCACAGCGCTGCCCTGGGGGCTGGGTGGCCCCGGCCTCAGAGCCAGTGGAAAGACCCAGGTGAAATTGGTCTGAGGGGAGATGCTTTGAGAGAAAAACAAAGGGACTCATATGCATGGATCTTCAACAGTATAAAAAGCCACATTATAGTCTATTTGGGGACCCCGTCTGGGTACCAGGAAAGCATTTTCTGTTGCATCTCTTGTTTGCAAACTACTGAAGGTGATGGAAAAAGACCCAGCAGGAAGGACACCTGTGTGGACGGGACACTTACGGGGGGGGGGCCGTCAAGGTTCTGCATGTGTCCCATCCCTGGGGACGGGACCGGGGCAGGCGGAGGGATCGCTCCACGGGGGACTCGGAAAGAGCAGGGGGTCACGGAGAACAGAAGTGACCACAGTATGAAGGGTGCGTGCGGGACTCACAAAGATCCCACGCCTTTGAGGAAAGCTTGCACAGGGCCCCCCGTGCTGACACAGCTCGACTTCCGTGTAAGCCACATGCTGCCTGTGTGTCTGCTCTCCCAGCTGTCTTTATAAATGGCATCTCTCAGGAGCCCTGCTGAAACAGTCTGTGGCCACGCTAATAATAACCTGCTGGAATCATGGAAGCCCAGTGCTCCACGTGCGGTGTACGGTCAGGGTGTGGCCTCACAGCCTGTCCCCTCCTGGGCCTTCCCAGCAAGGACACAGGGAGCTAGTGCAGGGCCGCCAAGGGCTGACACAGGCTCAGGGCTCAGCTCCTGCTGAGCACCCCTGGCAGGAACCGGGTGGGGGGTCCTGGCACCCCACGAAGCCGTGGCTGGCACAGGGCCACTCAGGGCCGTCTTCGTGCAGAGCCCGTCTGCCCGTTGGACAGGAGCGGGAAGGCTGGCCGGCCACCTCCACGGAGACGAGCCACAAACGCAGGGAGGGGTCCGCAGAGCCCACGTCACTGTTTCTCATGCCTGCCGACGAACGTCAGCGTCTCCGGCAGTAACCACATGCATTGTACAAGCATGGCCCTTAAACATTCGACCTTTCCAGAGAGCCCTTCTCTGCAGCATCCAGGTCTCCACGTGCCTGGGACAGGGTCAGGGAGGTGGGAGGTGGGGAGGGGGCGGGTGGGGAGGGGAGGTGCTGCAGTGCGGGGGAGGGGGCAGCACACTGCGGGGCAGGTGAGTTCCACTCTGGCCCAAAGGGGCATGAAGTCGGGAGGGTGAAGACGCAGGAGCGTGGGGTGTTCCTAGAAGATGCACGCTTCCACACGCTCACACACTGTGAGTGCACTCTGGTGGGCAGGCCAGGGGCAGAATCCCTTCCGAAGGCAAGCTCTGTGAGCCACCTGCCCTATGAGGGGGGCTTCCTGGAGGAGGAGGCCTGGGTGTGGAGTGCAGGCCCCCCGCACCACACCCTCCATCTCCTCCAAGCGGACTTTGTACCATTCTTTAGCCCTCCCTGAGGGCCGCAGACGCCCACCTGTGCTGCCTGAGAGCCCCCGATGGCCGCTCTTGGTGCTTCTTCGCAGTCTTTTCTGGTGGCTTCTTTGGGCGTGAGGCTAAGGGGCCCTCATCCAGGACCTCAGGCCAGGCTGATAAGGCAGAGGGACTCTACAGGGAGACCAGAGGCAGGGGGCCAGGGCCAGGACACTGAGGCCTGCGAGTCCCAGGGGCAGGGCAGGCCTCTCCAGCTCAGGCGGAAGGGGCTAAGCCTGGGCTTCTCCCAAATCTGCACCTTATCCAAGCAGAACAGCTTCTGCCACGCCTGTCCTCAAACACAGCTCAGAATCCCCTCCCCACAGCCCTCCTACCCCCCCAGGCTTGGTCAGCACAGGACCGGCTCTTAGGACAACCCCAGGCTCAGCCGCACTGGAGGTCTGCACCCTAGAGTCCTTGACCCTGTGTTCAGTTGCAAGCAGCCTGGTTAGGCGGTGGACTCCACAGCCAATTTGGACTTGATGGGGGTGGGGGGAGGGGTCACCGAGGCCTGCAGAGACCCACGGCCATGACAGAGCTGGTCCACAGGGACACAGACAAGGACCCCAGCAAGGGAGCATGCAGGGTGTGCAGAGCACTCTGAACGACACACAGTGAGCTCTGGGCTCTACGTCAGCATTCTCTCTCGTAGCAGATCCAGTCGTTGCTGAGACAGTGCAGGGTCTGAAAAAGCTGCCTGGGATTGGGAAGCAGGGTGGGCCCGGGGTGGCGGGGGGCTGTCAGAGACTGAACGGTGAAATGCATGTCGTAAGGAACAAAAGCAAACGTTTCCCAAATCCCAGTGCTGTCCTCAGCTGCGGCTTCTTCCTCACAGGTGAACGTGTACGTGCTGGGGAAGACGTTCCTTCTTCTGGCAAGAGAACTGTGCATCAACGCGCCGGCGATCGGTACGTCGGGTGGGAGGGCGTCCCGTGCAGGGACAGGGGCTCCACCGGGTCGTAAGAAACGTCCGAGCAGCAGCTGGGAGCCCGACAGTTTGGGGATTACTTCTGGTTTAGAACCAGAGCGCCCATGGTCAGTCCCCGGCAGGTGTGGAGGAGGGTACAGAGGGAAACGGGACCCATCTGTCCACCTCTTGAGGAATACACCTGGTGGCCGGTGCCCTGGGGAAGGCAGGACCTCTGCAGACGGAGAGGTGCTTTCCTAGCCCATTCTGCCTTCCCTGGAGCTTCACCGAGAGATTGTTCTCACAGTCTGCTTGCGGGGGCTGCTCCCCGTTTTGCCCATCATTCTCTACAAGTGTATTTTGTTTCAAGGAGGCAGGGTGCAGGGCCAGGGAGGGCGGGCTAGGGGTGCAGTCCCGGATAACCCACAGCATGGTACCCTGGGGCTGGGAAGGCAGGGTCTGGCAGGGTGGGTCAGGAGAGGGGCACAGCTGCAGAGCTACACTAGGCTTGGGGGTTCCACTCCCAGCTAAGACCCTCCCCCAAGAGGCCACGTCCCTGTGCCGAGTGACATGGTCCCTCCCTCCGGGGTCAAGCTGAGGTTTTTCAGAAACAAAGCAACCAGCCACAAAGTGTGCAGCCTGAGAGAACAGAGGTAAGGGGCTCAGAGAGCCTGCTTTACCCCGAAGCATGCCTGCACAGGGGCCATCTGGGGCCTGCAGAGAGCCCCACCTCACCCCGCCACCCTCAAATCGGAGTCCTCCAGTAGGGCTTTGTCTGAGAGGCTGGAATGCCTCAGGAAGCACGACACAAGCAGACACCTGGCCTTTTCCAGAGTGTTCTGGCCACAGACCCACGGTGGAAGCCGACAGACGGGGACAGACGGGCCTCCCTAGGAGGCAGTTTGTTTCTAACCAGGAAGCATGGCTTAGCATTGGAGGCTTTTTCGTGTGCTGGAAGGGACATGCCGTTCATAGACACGTGGGAAAGCGTGTGCCTCGGCTTCATGCTCCTTCACTCGTTTCTCTCTCGGTAGCTTGTTTCATTGAAACCTTGTTATGAAAATGCAGCTAGACGTGGACTGTTTTAGATGCCTTTTCCCAGTTCTGGATATGAAGGGAAGGTTTTAGGTTAAGCGCGGTAGTGCTGAGAATTCATGGGGGTGGGAGGGGCAGCAAGGCCCACAGAGCAGGTGGTGTGGGCACCGCAGGGTGGGGGCCTGCAGGAAGCCCGCCTTGTGCCCCCAGATCTGCCCAGCTGCCGGGACGCAGAAGCCCTGGCCCTCGCTGTGTAGGAAGAGCGTCGAGTTCCCAGCCCTGGGCTGCCGCTGACTATGAACGAGAGAGAGAGAGAGAGAGAAAGGAAGCGAAGCCTTTAATGCTGTTGGTAAGGCAGCCGGCAAGGGGCGGAAGGGGTCGCACAGTCTGCTGCACGTCCCTTCCCGGCGGGGCCGGCTGCAGAGAAAGGCCTCCTGCTGGTGCGCGTCCTAGCGCGTCCGGGCCACCCCTCGGCAGTTCAGGCGTAGAAGATGAGCTCGGGGATCTGCCCACCCTGGACCCCCGTCCCGTTGGTGCTGTCCGAGGAGCACTGGAACTGGAAGGTCACCTTCCCGCACTGTACTTCGGTCATGCCCTCCTGCCCAAAGTAGCTGAGCTCGCTGCCGTCCAGGACAGCGCTGGCCGTGTAGAAGCTGTCCTGTTCCACCTGCACGGGGTGTTCAAACCACACCGAGAAGGTGTTGCTGGAGCCGTCCGACACAAACTTGGTCAGGTTCTGAGCCAGGAGCACCCCCAGCCGCTTCAGCTCGATCTTGACGCTGTACTCGGCTTTCCCAGAGCTGGACCCGTATAGGCCCAGCCCCGCGATGAACACCCTCCTGTCCACGGCAAACTGGATGCTGTCACAGCGCCCGCGGTAGCGCCACTGGTTGCTGCGGTAGGCGGAAGACTGGAAGCGGTGGCACCGCTGCGGGGCCAGGCCCTTCCTCTTGGTCAGCGGGAAGCTGAGGAGCGGCTTGTTGGCCGCCGTGTACCACAGGAAGATGTCGTGGGTCTCCTCCAGGGTCAGGATGTCCGACTGGGCAGCGCCATTGGCAAACTCCTCCAGGGTCATGGTGGGAATTCGGACCAGGTAGAGGGCAGGCCCCAGGACGTGCCTCTTGTTGCGCGGGGTGACCGGCAAGCCCTGTCTCTTGCACTCTGCCTCAGCCCAGTGCAGGACGGCCTCGAAGACCACCGCCTCCTTGGCGTTGAGCGCCTCCCGCGTCACGATGATTTCCAGCGTCTGCCAGTCGATTTCGCAGAAGCCTTCAGACCTCAGGGCCATCTCGGCTTGTGCATCGATGACCTCCCAGCAGCGCTGGGTCAGCTCCGGTTCCTCAAACAGCCGGCTCTGGGACAGCAAGACGCAGGCGTTCTTGGCTTCCAGACTCGTCTCCAGGAAATTGACGCAGGCTTTTGCCAGAGCGGGGACGATGTACTTCTTGGCAGCATAGAGGGTGGCCAGCACCGTGTCGGCTTCCAGGTCGATCTCGTCGCTGTACATGTACCTGGGCAGAGTGGGGGCTGCGTCACGGGCTGCACGGGGCGCGCCAGGCAGCCGCACCCACCCCCTCCCCGCGCCCTCACGCAACGCACGTACTTTAACAAGATCAGAAAAGCTGCAGGCTCCACGTCGGGGATGTGGATTTCTGACTTGACTTCTGCCAGGTCGCCGTAAAACATGGCATAGAAGACGGAGCTCCCGACCGCCAAGACGTACTGCGGAGACACAAGCTGCCCTGAGCCCCCCCTGCCCCCAGCGGATGCCAGGACGGGATGCCAGCACGCCACACCCGGGGGGAGGGCACAGGAGAGCACAGTCGCTGCTCGCGGGGCCGCGCGTCCGCTCACCTTGTGGGCAGGCACCCTGCGGGCTGCCCCCGGGGGCCCCACGACGAAGTGCACGTCGGCCATGAGCTCGTTGTTGAACATGAGCGCGTTCCTGCAAAGGGCAGAGGCATGGGGCATGGGGCTCGGGGCTCGGGGCGGGGGCGCGGGGCGCGGGCGCGGGCGCGGCCCGGGCTCACCTCTCGCGCAGGGTCGGGTGGAAGGACTGCCAGTTGGGGCTCTCCAAGTTGTTGTTGTCTGGCGCGGGCGGCGCGGGCGCGGGCGGCGGCGGGGCGGGCGGCGGCGCGCTGGGTGGGCCCTTCCTGCCGGCGGCGGCGGCGGCGGAGTTGCTGTTGGCGATGTCCGTGGCGGTGGCGGCGGCGGCCGCGGCGCCGGCGGCCGGGTACAGCTCCGCGGCCATCTTCGCGGGCAGGGCGGCCTCCGCGCGCGCCGGCCGTGCGCCGTGCGCCCTCGCGCCGCGCCGGGGCCGGGGGGGCGGCTCTGCGAGCACCAGGAGCGCCGTGAGGCACTGCGCCACCCGGCCGTGCAGACAGGCCAGGGGCAGCAGCATGGGGGTCGCGGCGGGCGCTGCTGCCTCGGGCCGCCGCGCCGCGCCCCGCCCCGCGCCGCCCGCCGGCGCGCAGCGCGCAGCCCGCAGCCCGCAGCCCGCAGCGCGCGGCCGCAGGGGGCGCCGTCCGGCCCGCCCCCGGCCCTGCCGCCGCGTCACGCCGCGTCACGGCGGGCCCCGCCCCTTCCCCCGCGCGGGCGACGTGCGCGCCCGCGGCCCGGGCGGCCCCGCCCCTTCCCCCGCGCGGGCGACGTGCGCGCCCGCGGCCCGGGCGGCCCCGCCCCGCGGGCTGGCGCAGGCGCAGGCGGAGGCGCAGGCGGGAGCGCGGGGGAGCCCCCGCGCGCGGCGCCCGCGTGTGTGTCCGCGTCGTTCACGAGCCCTCTCCGGAGGCGGGGTGCGCGCGCCTGGCGCGCTGTTGTCGCCTCGGGGAGCCCTGACCCCACTCCCGCTCCGGTCCGGTCCGGCCCGTCCTGTTGGTTGCGCTCCGTCTGTTTTCAGGGGCCTTATCTGAGGCCGAGCTCGAGCCGGGCAGGGGGAGAGAGTTAGCGGCCTCCGTGCGCCCCGCGGAGCCCGCCCGGGGACCGGACCCGTCAGCGAGGCAGCCCCCCGGGCGCCCCGGCCGCAGTGGGAGGCGAGGGGCCGCGGAGGCAGAGCGCCCTGGGAGGCTTCCCTCTCTGCGGTTCTCGGGGTCTCCTCCCCGCGGCAGAGGCTTTGGAGAAGCCCGGCACCGGGTCCGTGGGCCGGTGGCGGCGCTCACCCGTCCGCCGTCTTGTCCTGGGCCCTTCAGCGTGTGTCGTGTGTCGAGTGGGACGCGGCTGTGCCAAGTCTCACGCTGCTGTGGCTTTCGGGGGGCCGTTGCGGCGCCCGTGCGGCGCTCAGTTGCCACCGTGCCGGGCGCGTCCACAGGCGCGTGGCGTCGTGGCCTCCTGTGGGTGGCTTGTCCCCTGGCGTGAAGCCCCGTCCCAGCCCCTCGCAGGGCCCCCTGCCCCGCGCCCTGCAGCCGTGTCACCACCCTCTCTCCTGCGTGGCGAGCCACGGCCCGTCTCCCGCTTCAGTGTCTTGTCAACGGCCTGTCCTGGGTTTCGCCTTTTGCTTCCGGTTGGTGAGAGGGTCTCGCCTAGGCTGTGTGACGTGTTGGGGTTTAGTGCCTTCCCTGTACGCGTCTGCTTTCCTCACCTGGTTGGCGTGTCCTCTCTCCCGCCACAGGCGGTCACTTCTGAGCCTGGGCAGTCTGGGCGACGGCACCTCTCCGCCACGGGTTTTGTTCGGTTCGGTTGGGGTTTTGTTTGTGATGTGGTTGCCAGGAGACGTGTTATGCGGAGAAAACAGAAACATTTCAGAAGTAATACTGTTAGGGTTTCGAACTGTTTTCGACGAGACGTAAACACCGGAGCTAGAGGTGAAAGCTTTGACGCTGCTGAATTCCTGAAATACAAACCTGCACGTCCAGAAGCTGCTCGGGACAGTTTGGAGACGGACGCGCCAGGAGACTGTGCCCGGCTGGCGAGCCGCGCCTCTCGGCCGTGCTGCCCCGCCAGAGTTCCACCTGACGTCCAGCCTGCCCAGCACAGGACCCACCTTTCCAGAGACCGCAGCACCCAGGGCCTTGGGGAAAGGAGGACGAGTGGCAGCTGCTCGCCAGCTCAGCCCCCGCAGTCGGTGTGGGGGATGTCCCTCGGGTCCTCGCCGTCCTTGGGGACCCAGGCCGCTTCAGCGGTTGTTGCTGCCCGTCTCCCGTGGTCCTTTACGTGAGCCAAGACGGGCAGAGGAAGGGGTGCTCGTAGCCCCACGTGGGGCTTCCAGGGGCCAGAGTTCAGTCACGTAGATGCCGGGAGGCCGGGAGAAGTGATCAGGCTGGGGCCCCGAAGGAGGGTGCTTGGTGCTGGTAGACAGCAGGGTCCTGCCTGTCGCCATCTGCCAGCACACGCCTGCTTTCTGGCTGGCCTGTGGCCCCCTCGGGGCACCCCCTCTTCAAGCCTCAGCAAGGCTTTTCCAATGAGCCTGTCCAAGGCAAGTCTCGCCCCTGATGTTCTGTCGGGGGCCCTGCACGGTTCCTTCCATGCATGCACCTGCGGCAGCGCAGCAGGCCGCTGAATTCAGGAGGTTACCTGCCAGCTGGACTCTCCTGGACGCCCAGGCCAGGGGTCGTCCAGGGAGCAGGGCACGAGGGAGGGAGAGTGCATGCGTGCATGCACGGGCCCTTCCTGAGCCTTCCCTTGCTGAGGAACGTACGATCATTTAAAGAGCTGCTTGTACATCTGTAGACATAAGGGCAGAAGATACAGCTCATGTTTCATGAGAGTAAACTGGGCCAGCAAGTAGGTAAGAAACAGGCTCTGTCTCCGTCGTGATCCGCAGAACGCCCCGCAAGGCAGCAGGGTATCGTGTGTGTGCATGTGCACGAGCACGTGGGGTGACCCCGCGCGGCAGCTGTGCGAGGGATGTGGGCGAGCAGCCCCCAGCCGAGGGTCGGGGAAGCTGTGCAGTGGACGGACTGGGAGGGTCACCCTGAGGGCGGGCATCGCGCTGTGTGGTCTTCGTGTGCCTCCCAGATCTGGAACACGCACGTTCCACGAGGCCTGCTGCGCGGGGGTGGACGCGTCCTGCGCGGCACTGAGGTGCGTGTGTCTGCGGCAGATCCGTGCCTGTACATCCCGCGCTTTGCCCACCTGCTGGAGTTTGGGGAGAAGAACCACGAGGTGTCCATGACGGCCCTGAGGCTCTTGCAGAGGATGAAGAGGGACTGGATGCACACCGGCCGGCGCCCCTCGGGCCTCTGCGGAGCAGGTAGGACGGCCCCGGAGTCAGGCTGGCCAGGCCCCGCTGGCTGTGGATGGGGTGGGCTGTCTCCAGAGGTAACCTGGCCCTCGAGGGCTCCCGTGCGGCCAGCCCTGCCCTGCCCCCGGTGCTGAGTTGTTACTACAGAGGGTACTTCTCGGTCCCCCGGAGGGTAGCTGTCCGGTCTCCCTCTGCATCCTCCAGCTCTGTCCCCAGTGCCTTGGGGTCTGACGTAGCCCTTGGGCCTGGAGTTCTACCCAGCAGGCCCTTCCTCCTTTCTGGTGGCCCTTACCCCACGACGACCGCCCCCCCGGGCTCCAGTGCTTCCTGGAACGCCAAGGGCCTGCGTTCCCACGCTCAGCTACCAGCAAGAGTCCTCTCCCAGTGCACTGCCGACTCTGGGCCACTCCTGGTCAGCCCGGCTGCGGCCACCACCCGGGGCCCATCCCTGTTCCCCCGACCTGGCCGTGTCCCCAGCCTCCTTACTTACCTGTGTTGCCAACTGGTTGCCTGTTTGAGTCGCCTCGGAGTTTGCTCCCTGACTTTGAGGGGTCACGCGAGGTTCTAGACGCGTCTTCCTTCTCTCTGCGTTGGACGCAGCACGTTCTGGGATCCTCAGCCGTGGCGGACTTCTGGGTCTTGGGACCCTCACGTACACCGCGTAACCGTTACCCCCTGGGGGGCCGGGGCCTCGCCCCCCACAGGCCCCCGGGCAGGGCTCTCACCGCCCCGTCCCGAGGCTTGACTCCCCATCGTGCTCCTCTCCAGCACTTCTGGTTGCAGCCAGGATGCACGATTTCCGGAGAACCGTCAAAGAGGTCATCAGCGTGGTCAAGGTGTGCGAGTCCACGCTGCGCAAGAGGTGGGTGGCTCTCGGTGGTGGCTTCCTCTGTCTGCCGGTCAGACCCACGTCCACGGTGCTGCCACCTGCTGGTCTGGCCAGGACCCAGGACAGCCCGGGTGCTAGAGTGGCCGCCCGCCTCCCTCCAGGGTCTCGGTCAGTCCTCCCGGCGCCATGCGTTGGGGTAGGTTGCGGTGGACTGAGAACCTCAGTGACTGGCCCCACCCCCGGGGAAGCCAGGCTCACGCAGAGGGCCAGCTGCCCGCGAGCCCCTGCCTGGGGTGCGGTGTTGGGGGTGGCGGGGCTCAGCTCCAGCGTCAGCTGCGGCGGGATAGTCGTGAGCCCGATCAGCGGCGCGCCTGCCATTGCGGTGTTTTCACCTCGAATCTGCCACATCTGGGGGCGGTTTCTCAACTGAGGTCGTATCCTGGGGCACTTTCCAAAGCCGGAAAGAAAAGCGTTTTGCATATCTGACCGCTAATTCTCTTTAAAAATTTCCTACTGAAAAAAAGCCTCTTGATTTAAGCTTTTTGTAGGTCGCGTGAGACAGAGGTAGTTAATCTTTAGGTGGTGACCGCCTAAGGCTGCTGGCGTGGCCTCCTTCCGTCTGGGCCTTGTCTGAGTCCCCAGTGGGAGCGACAAGTGTGCGTAGCCTTTCCTCCCCGGGGCCCCGCTGTTGGCCACGGCGAGTAGGGCTCGTGGCCGAGTGTGGCCGGGCTGCCGGCGGCTCTCTCCAGGGGCCCTCTTGTTGCAGGCTGACGGAGTTTGAAGACACGCCCACGAGCCAGCTGACCGTGGACGAGTTCATGAAGATCGACCTGGAGGGGGAGTGTGACCCCCCTTCGTACACGGCAGGGCAGCGGAAGCTGCGCATGAAGCAGGTGGGCCCCACGCCGGCCTGGCCACGCCTGCCCATGCAGCACGTGGCGTCTCGCGGCGTCTTCCAGATGTCGTGTGTCACGCTCTTATTTGGAAAAGAGTGGCTTAGTTGCAAAGACCAGACTGGGTCTGCGTCCACACGGCGCGCAGGGAGAGGCAGACAGATGGGTGGGGTCGGGCTGAGCCCTGGGGGTGCAGGAGGGGCACCCCTGCCGCTGGCTAGGGGGTGGCACGCGGGGTGCCAGGTCCCTCGATGGCCCCATGCCTTCCCTGCAGCCGTCCCGGGTGCTCCAAGTACAGTTCCCGGGGGGCACCGGTGGGGTGCGTGTGTCTGGAGGGCTGGGGGACCCTGGGCACCGTGAAGCACACCGCTTCCCCACGCGGCCGCCTTGTCTCTTTGCCGAATGTTCTCGTTGCTTTGTTTCAGCTTGAGCAAGTCCTGTCCAAGAAACTGGAGGACGTTGAAGGTAACCAGCTGCTCTTGCGGTGACAGGCGCCCCCGGGTCCCTAGAGCAGCGGGTCTGTGCTTACCGTGTGCCGTCCCTCACCTCAGGTGAGATATCCAGCTACCAGGATGCCATCGAGATCGAGTTAGAGAACAGCCGGCCGAAGGCGAAGGGGGCCCTCGCCAACCTGACTAGGGACGGTGAGTCCAGCCGCGTCCCCCACGGTCTCGAGGGGCCGGCCCCGCTCGTGTCACCCACGCCAGGCACTGCCCCGCCGGCTGACCTCCACCCCTGCCTGCTACCGCCCATCCAGGGCCGTGGGCTTGTCCTTTACAGGGTCCCAGCCGCCTCCTGGCCCTGACGTGCTGCGTGCTGAGTATCCAGCCGCCCCCCCCGCCCCCCGCCCCCCAGGTTCTAGCCCTCGTGGGGGGAGCCGCTCCTCAGCACCCAGATCTTCCTTCCGGACTGTTCTGCCACCGCCCGCTTTGTGCCTTCCTCGGCTGCCGCGGGGCTACCTCCTCCCCATCGTGGCTGCCACGCATCTGTTTCCAGCCTGGGGCATTGCAGAGCTGCTGTGTGCGTTCTGCGTGGATCTTTTTCTGCACCCATGCTCCTCTCTCTCCTGGACGCTCCCACGTCGCCTTCCTTCCCAGTCCTTGCGGCCCCGTCTGTAGGTCTGCAGCCGGGCCACGCTGCGCCGTGTCTCTGATTCGCCCGGCCCGGTGTTGCCCACGCCTCCGACAGTCTGCCCGCTGCTCCCCCAGGGTCTGCGGCCTTTCTGACTCGTTTCCTCTCTTGCTCCTGAGACTCCTCTTGCTCGGCCGGCCCAGCGCCCCGTCGACCCTCTCCCGAGAGCGGGCATCTCCCGCCCCGTGGGTGTTCCCCAGCCGCCCTCGGATCGAGCCCCCTGCGCTGCCGCCGTGAGCGGCGTCCTTCCCCTGGTGTTCGGCTGCTCGGTGCCGCTTCTGTGTGCCTGTGGGTCGGGACTTCTGTTTCCACTCTTCTGAGGGCGCGCGCTCAGTCACGGGTTTTCCACGTGAGCAGTCGTGTCTTCTACAAAAGTGCTGCTTCGTGCTTGCCACTGACTCTCGGGCCCCTGATGTCCCCCAACGCCCAGGCCGTGGCCGGGCCCCCCAGCGCCTGCTGAGCCACAGTGGTGGCAGTGGGCACGTGGCCCGGGTGCCGCCCAGGACACGGAGCAGGCTTTGGGCTGAGGTGCCACGTTGCCCTGAGATGGATGCGCCCTCCCACAGTTTTCACTGGGTGTTGCCTCGGCTGTCGGTGAGTTTCTGCAGGGCCTGTGGAGAGAATGTAGGGTTTTCTGGGCTCAGTGAGTGCGACCCGCCCCCCGGGGGCGCCTGGCGTCCGGTCCGCACACGGTCTGCACGGACTTGGGCAAAGCCGCGTCTCAGGACGTGTTTGATTTTGTTAGTCGTGGAAGTGTGTTCTTTCTCCCCGTTTTTTTGCCTGGTTTTGTGTTCTGGTTCGTACTGATTTCTCGCGAGTGCTGCGTTTGCGTTGATTCGTTCATCGTGCAGCCTCCTGTCTGCTGAGTCGGCACCTGCCCCTCCTCCCTCTGCCCCTTCGGGGTCGCTGCTGGACGGGTTTGCTCTGGCGTTTGGGGCGTATGCGTGCAGGAAACCCGTGAGCCGCGCCGGAGCTCTGTGCTGCTCAGAGTCTCGGCTCGTTCCTCTCTGATGCTGAGGTTCCCAGGGGCACTTACCGTCCAGAGGGGCGGTGCCTTTTGTTTTCCAGTCATGGCGTGAGTGTCCACGCTTACCGCCGTGTGCGGGTCGGCTGTGTGTTTGTGGCTGGCGATGCCCATGGGCCCGCGAGGACGGAGGCGGCCAGTGTCGGCTTGCCCCACCGCGACGCCTGCAGCTGCCGTTCTGGGATGGGCGGGCGTGGGTGTGGAGTCCGGCTCCGGGGGACGTGGGGTCCCTCCACGAGGGTGCGCGTTCCACTCTGCTCCCTGGCCCGGCCCCTCCACTGGGCCCTCCTCTGCGGCTGGCACGGAGTTGGGTGCTGCTTCATGCCCCAGCTGGAAGCTCTGCTCCTCTAGCGGTTGGAGCCCGTTTCCATCCGCCCGTGACTCGGTGGTGGTGCTCGCTGCACTCCGCGGGGGCCTGGCTTTGCACCGGGATTTCCTTCATGCCATTTCCTGGGCAGCGTCTGCGTGCGCTGCCCCGGCCGCTAAGAAGCCGGCCAGCTGTCTGCCACCAGCAGGCCACCTGCCTCCTGCCCTGGGCCCAGCTTCTCACACCTGTTCTCCTGACAAGAACGTCAGGGACGCATCCCTCTTCCTAGCTCCCCACGGTCTGGTTATCCAGACCCTTTCTGTGTCATCGGGATGGCGGACGTTTCATCCCCTTTGTCTGGACTGAGCCCGAAACTAGGTGGGGCTGTCCAGCTGCCTTGGGTCACAGGAGGCCTGACTGAGAGGCCACGGCTCCCGTGACGTGCCGTGGGGGTGCAGGCAGTGGGCCACCCTCCTGCCAGCCTCCCTGCAGGGCCATTAGCTGACCGGCAGTACTGAAGGGGCCGGCAAGGGCATGCGATGATTCGGGAGAGGCCTGGGGGAGGGAGGGAGCCCTGCAGCTGCATGGGGGGAGGCTGGTGCTCACGTGGGGTGCAGCGGGGGCGTGGGAGGTCCCGAATGGAGGCCAAGGGGACAACACGGTCTGACTCAGGCTGAAGGGGAGAGTCGGCCGTGAGAGAGGCAGGGGTTTGGGAGCGATGCGGCCTGGGGGAGGCGGGACTCTGCGGTGCTCCTGGGACCCAGCTGACAGGACGGGAGTGCGGACGCGCAGGGCACACGGCTGCTGAGGCCGGGGCCTGGCCCTCAGGCAGGGGCGCCCAGACGTGAGGGCGGAGGTGCGGCAGATTTATCCGGAAGGATCGTCACCCTATGTGATTTTCTCGCTCACAGGGACTCGGACGGTTTTCTGCTCCCAGAGAAACATTCACAAAGACGTAACGTTCTCGTGTGATCCTCGGTGCTTACCGTGAATTTTTAGCGTTACACGTTAAAGACTAGAGTAGGGTGTTTTGACGTGTATTTAGATGTTCTGTTGGGTGGTTTTTTAACAAATTCCGTGCAGGCATAACTCACGTACGACAAACTGCGAATCTAAAACGCAGCCCTTGGTAAATCTCGACAAATATGCGCGTCGCAGAACCATCGCGGTGGCGGAGATGGTGGCCGAGATCATGAACGTGCACCCCCAGGACCCTCGGGCCTTCGCTGCCCCCGGAGTCCGTCGTGCTTTCTGGAGTTTCGTGTCTGTGGGATGGCGCGGCATGTCCGGATTCTCGTCTGGCTGCTGTGCTCTGGGTGACGGCTCCGGTTGGCGAGCACGGCTCCCCGTCGGTGGCGCCCTAAACGCACGCAGGTGGCCGGGCCAGCTGGGGCTGCAGCACGTCTGTGCACGAGGGTCCCTGTGGACGTTTGCTCGGTCTTGCCTGGGTGCGCGCGCCCAGCCTTCTCTGATGCAGCCGGGCTGTGCGCGCCCCCCCGGGGTGGGGGCTGCTTCCTGGCACCGTCCTGGCCTGGCAGGAGAGAGGTGGCGCCCTAGGCCTTCTGCCGGGGCTTGGTCGGGTCGTGTGGTTTCTTCGCACGCTGCAGACACACGGCGCTCACGGGAGGGCAGAGGTCTCGTTTGACGCCGTCCTGCTTGGCGGTTCAGGGGTTGCTGTCAGTGTCCTGTCGGGAAGTTTTGTCCAATCCGAAGCCACAGATGTTTTCTGTCATCATTCTCTGAACGGGAAATTTCTTTCTTAGCTGTTCTGTTCGTTTTGAGTGGATTTCTGTGCAGCGTGAGGCGTGTAGGCCGAGGGCTCTTAGTGGGCATGTGGGTGTGGGGCAGCCTCGGTGACGAGGTGCGTCTCCGTCGCTGAAGTTAGGGAAGTAAGTGTCTTTTGCGGCCGCACGGCCGTGTTTGTCTGCACAGAGGTGGGGATCTGGCTCCCTGCCTGGTTCACAGGCTGTGTGACGTTGTGTCCCTAGGCTCCGTCGAGGACTCCGCGTCCAGCTTATTTGGCGAGGACGACCCCGAGGACGAGGAGCTGGAGGCTGTGGCCAGCCACCTGAACAAGGATTTCTACCAAGAGCTGCTTGGCGGCAGCATTTCCAGCAGCTCCGAGGTGGCCGGAGGCCCTGAGGGGGCCAGGGGGCCCCCGGCCCTGGAGTCCCTGCTCGGCCCCCTGCCCACGGCGGCCAGCCTGGGCATCTCGGACTCCATCCGAGAGTGCATCTCCTCCCAGAGCCAGGACCCCAGTGAGTGCCTGGGAGCCCCGGGGACGGGTGGTGGATGGGGAGAGGGAGGGGGAGGGGGCTCCTCTGGCAGGTGCAGTGGGGCTGTGGCCGGCAGATGCCAGGTCCAGGTCACCCCCCCATCTGTGGGAGGTGGAGGTGCTGCTTTGGGGTGCAGCCTCTTGGAAGGGTGGGCAGGGGAGGGGCGCCGTGCAGGGCGGTGCGAGCATCGCTAGCCCCAGCGTATGTGGACACCCCGAATCCCAGCAGGGCTTGTTGCCGCCTCCAGAACCCTCGTCCCCTGGCCCGGCGGCTCAGGGCCTGGCCGGAGCCCTCTGCTGGCTTGGGCTGTGGCCGCAGGCTCCTTCCTGCCCGTGTGAAGCGTCCTGCACAGGGACGGGGACTGGCTTCCCCGCCCGTCCTGCGTCTGTCTGAGCCAAGGGCGAGCGCTGCCTGAGGGCACAGTCCCCACGCGTGGCCCGACATGACCTGCTGGGCTCCAGCACGGGCAGTGGGGGGTGCCTGAGCAGGAGGATGGCCTGGGGCGCTGGCGGCTCTGGGAGGAAGGCCCGTCTGGTTCTGCCACGTTTTACTGCCGAGAGCGGGTTCTGGCCGTCCACCAGGACTGACCCCCGAGGTGCCCCCAGGCTGCAGACAGGCCCTGCCTCATCCCTGGGCGCCCAGGGCTTGGCCCCCGTGTGCCGGGGCCCCCATGAGGGTGCGCCGCACAGACGTTTGTCACGTGCCTCTGAGCCAGGTGATGGGCAGGTGCGCAACCTGCCCTGACCGCAGTGGCGTCTCGGGCGGGAGGGGCCGCGACACGGGGCAGCCCAAGCCCGCCAGTTGAGCACAGGAAGGTGGGGCAGAGGGCCTGTGTAAAGGCCCCGAGGCAGGGGCAGACCGGTGCTGCAGGAGTCAGGGAGCGGGGTGAGGCAGAGCCCACGTGGAGGGTGCGAGCAGAGTGCGAGCGCCAGGGGAGCCTGCCCAGGGCCTGACCGCGGAGCTTCCCACGGGGCCCGCTGGGTGTGGGCGGTCCACCTGGTGATCGGGGGCACCCCGACCTCCGGGCCATGGAGGTTGTGCTGTTGGCCCGGGGTGGGTAGGAAGGGGGCGGCCAGCAGGCTTTGGCGATGTCCAGAGCACATCCCGAGCACATCGCTGAGGACGCGCTGAGGACGCGCTGAGGGTCCATCTCCTGGGCTGGTGGGTGGAGAGCCGGACAGCCTGCTCTCCCGCTCTGAAGGCGCCTCTGTCGTAGGGAGTCCCGAGGTCTGGTGGCTCTGCTTTAGTGTCCTTCTTGCACGCAGTCCTGGGGTGGAAGCCACACTGCACATGGAGCAGGGCCGGGCCTGCCAGTGACGAGGGGGCTTCCGTCAGCCATTGGCCAGAGCCGAGGTCCCAGACGAGGGGCCTCCTAGCCCGGAAGGGGTCCTGAGACCGCCCAGGGGACGTCTACGCTTGCTCACCAGAAGCTGACCCCAAATGACCCTGGCGCTGTGCTTCCCCGCAGCGGACGCGTGTGGGGACGGCGAGCTGGACCTCAGTGGCATCGACGACTTGGAGATTGACAGGGTGAGCGTCCGCATGCACTCTGTGTGCCGTTCGGGGCCCCAGGCGGCCATGCCTGCCCTGCCCGCACCGTCCCACAGGCCCTCCCGCGGCGGGGCATCCCCGTCGTGCCGCCACACGGCCCCTGGGACCCATGTCCGCGTGCCCGTTTGTGGACTCAGCCCCTGCTATCGGCCTTGGAAAGGGTGGGGGGGACAGGTGTCCCTGAGCGGCTCCCAGGAACGAGCCTGCAGCCCCGCGGGTCAGAGGCTTGTGTGCGTGGTCGGTGGCTGAGACCCGGGTGTGATGCTGTGCTCTGCCCAGTACATCCTGAACGAGGCGGAAGCCCGCGTCAAGGCCGAGCTGTGGATGCGGGAGAACGCCGAGTACCTGCGGGAGCAGAGGGGTAAGCACCCGCCCACCTGCCAAGGGTCCTGGGCTCCGGGGCCCCTGCTGATCTGCCATTTGGGGACTTTTCAGAGAAAGAAGCAAGAATCGCGAAGGAGAAGGAGCTTGGCATCTACAAGGAGCACAAGGTAGGGCTCGTTCAATGTGTGTGGAGACCAGCCCTGCCCCTCCCCAAGTCATGCGAGGGCCCCCAGGGCCAGCGGTTCCTCCACTGAGGGCCTGCCGCACCTCTGGGACCCCGTCGGGGACCCGGGAGAGCCTGCTTGTCACGTCCATCCTATGGGTGCTCACAGAGACGTGGCTAGCTGCTTCTGTGGGGCTGGACGGGGACTCTGGCCGCAAGGCCAAGCTGGGGAGTGGTTGAGCCTCTGAGCAAGAAAGGCAGGAACCAGGCATGCGCGGCCCGGGTCGCTGGTCTGCTCAAGAGCTTTTCCGGGGGAGGGCCTGCAGCTTGGGGTCAGGGCTTGGGGCCCCTAGCAGCGTGGTGGGCAGGCTGGCGGACAGGAGACACAGCTGGGCTCCTGGAGGTGGTGCAGCACCCAGGATCAGGTCCCTCCGTGCTGGGTGACCCGTCCCGAGCATGGCACCCTACTCGGCCCTGTTCGGGTGGCCACAGTGTCCAGCACAGCCAGGGGTCCATATGGGTTCGTGGGCAGCTCAGCGCTTGCTGCTGGGTGACCCCTCCTGAGGGGCTCGCTGAGCTGGCCGCACACCCTGAGACCTGCCCCCAGTTCCCCCGCTCATGGACGGGGGCTGGCTTTCCCCTTCTGAGAGGAGGCGGTCGGAGCCGTCCTCTGGAGGCCCGGGCCCTGCACACCTCGGCTCCTGGGGCCGGGGGTCCCCAGCAGACTCTGATTGCCCGGTCCCTCCCCCCACGGTGTCCAGCTGGCGGTGCCCCCCCATCCCACGAGGCACCTAGCAGGTCTGTGGGCACTGAGATCCCCAGGGGGCAGTAACTCTCCTGTTTCCGTCGAGCCCAAGAAGTCTTGTAAGCGACGGGAGCCGATTCAGGCCAGCACGGCCGGGGAGGCCATTGAAAAGATGTTGGAGCAGAAGAAAATCTCCAGCAAGATCAACTACAGCGTGCTTCGGGACCTCAACAGCAAGGGTGGGGGCAGCCTGCAGGGGGAGGACGTGCAGCCCGAGGAGCGGGCCAGTGCCCGGAAGCCGTCTCGGAGGAAGACGCCTGCCGGCAGGAACGGAACTGACCCCGTGAGCAGCGTGGGGAAAAGGTACTGCGCCAGGCGGGCCGGGCGTTGCGTCTGGGCAGGGGCGGGAGGCCTGGGGGCGCATCCCCACCTGGATGCTGGGTCTCACGCAGCATCTGCTGCCCTGGCCGGCTCCTGTTTGCGTGCAGGGCTGGGGGCTGAGGAGGGGGCCCCTACCCTGCAGGGTGTGTTCTGTCTCAGGGAGCAGGCGAGCCAGCCTGTTTTCCTGGGAGGGGCCCTTTGCGCACCCCTCCCCTGGCTGCACAGCTCTGCCGAGAAGGAAGGGTAGAGCGCAGACTGCCGAGGGGGGTGAGCAGGCCAGGGGAGAAGCCGTGGGCCGCGCCAGGTGCCTCTCCTGGCGGGGCAGCGCCCTGCACAGACGGGTCCAGGCAGCTCCGCACAGCTCCCTGCGCTGTGGCCTGCCGTCGGGCGGCTGCAGGCTGGCACCGTGTTCCCCAGGGTCCCAGCCGTGCCTGAGCTGATCCTCAAGGTCATGCACCCAGCGCAGAGCTGCCCCTGGATGGGCTGGGAGCTTAGGGGCTGCCTGGAGGTGCGGCCTGGCTGCATCCCACCCACCTCTTCTCAGATCTCCGTCGTTAGCAGCCTCTAACCATGATTGATCCGAGAAAGAAAAGTGTTCTGGTTTGCCTTTTTTTCTCGTAACTCAGAGTAAACGTTTTTCATGGTTTTGTGACATTTTTTTTTTTTTAACGTAAGTCATCTCTGCGCCCAACATGGGGCTTGAACTCACAACCCTTGAGATGAAGTGTCACAAGCTCTTGTAACTGAGCCAGCCGGGTGCCCCTTGTGACGCTTTTTCTATAAGTGGAGTCTTCCATTTCCTCGTTCCCCGAGCCCCCAAGTCCCCGAGCACCCAGCACAGCCTGTCGCTGTCTGGCATCCCTGTGTTCCCTTCTGACTGTGGTCCGGGGCCTGGGGAGATGCACCCCAGCCTGGCTTCCGCCTGCTCAGTGGACCCTCAGACCGTGAGAAGCAGCTAGGGGACCCTGAGCCCTCGGGAGCCTTCAGACCACAGGGTCTCCCTCTTCTCAGACTGCTCCTTGGAGGGGGCGCATCACCCTGTCCGTGGTGCGGGGGGCTGCTTTCCCGGGGCCCCGGCTCTGCCTCTGGTTGCCAGGGGACAGTGTGTGGGCAAGCCTGTCTCGTGGGTCAGCTGCGCCCCGTCCATCCTAGTGTGTCTGCCATCAGGCCGAGAGGGTGAGCGGGTGGGGCTGTGGGCCCAGGAGGGGAGCATGCTTTCCAGGTCACAGGCCCTCCTACGGGGCTGCTTGGAAGGGGTGGGGGGTGGGCGTGGGACCCAGACCCAGGCCCCCTCCCCGCCGCCCCCCCGCTGGCTGCCTCACTGACCACCGTGACCCCTCTGCAGCCAGGTGGGTGGACAGGGCCAGCTTCCCGCCTCCTGGGCTCAGGTGGCTCTGGACTCTGCGGGGCCTTGAGGGGTCGCTGCTGTGGCACGAGCCCACGGAAGCCTCCCACGAGAGCTTGCAGCTCCTGTGCGGAGGGCCTGTCCACCTGCTGGAAGCTGTTGGAGCATCCATTCCCAGTGTCCCCGGGGCCTCTTGGCGTCACAGTGGTGGACACCACTCAGTCATCTGAGTCCCCCCTGGATGCCTCCACCCCCACAGGCCCTGGGGCAGGGTCCCTGAGCCTGGACGCGTCTGTGGCCAGGGCGTGGGAGGACAACCTGCCTCCTCTCGGGGGCGGGGGGCGGGGGGTCCCACCCTGGACAGGTCAGCATCCCAGGAATGTGGGTACGATGCTCTCCTTTCTTGGTTCCTTGCAAGGGACGGTGCGGAAGGTGCCCTGGCTTCTGTGTTTGGAGGGTCTGGAGAGGGAGAGGAGAACCTCCCCATGGGCCTCTCCTCTTCTCCCCACGGGATGACCAGGGCCGAGGGTGGCCCAGGGGGAGGCGCCTCCCACTGCGGCCACTCCCTGCCATCCCCACACATTCTTCCTGAAGCAGACCACCCAGAACCTTGACTGAGAACAGCTGGGCAGACAGCCTGGAGAGCCCCAGGGCAGTACAATTTCAAATGACTTCTTAAAAATTTTATTTTGGAGAGGGGGGGCGAGAGAGCACGCAGAAGCGTGAGCAGGGGGAGGAGCAGAGGGGAAGGAGACGGACGGGAAAGAATCTCTAGCCGACTTCACAAGTCTGAGATCATGACCTGAGCCGAAACCAGGAGTCAGATACTCAACCCACTGAGCCACCCAGGAGCCCTTGATTTTAGGTTTTTATTCATCAAATGACAAACGTGCATCAGATCTGCCCAGGGCTATCTCCCATTGATCCACATAGCGTTTGAGCTAAAATTTGGGTTTGCTGCCAACGTTAAAAAGGAAGTTTTCATAGAAAAACCCTGACTTCCAGTTTCTGGCAGCCACCCCCCTCCCACCCCCGTTCCCAGCACTGCGCCGAGGCCTGGGGTGGGGGGGCGATGCTCACGCACATCACCGCTTGGCCTGTGGGGGTGGTGAGTAGGGCCGCTGCGCCGTCAGGAGGGGACGGGTGCGGTCACTCGCGCATCCTTGTGTGCTGGGCACGCGGACGTGCGTCAGGCACAGGCTAGGGGCTGTGTGCTCGTAGGATCCGCCCTAGCAGAGTGGGCACGGGGTGGGCACGGGGTGGGGTGAGCCACAGCACGGGGCGGAACTGCTCAGGGAGCCGGGACAGGTAGGGGCCTGAGGCCTGCGGGGTCCGCTGGGAAGAGCCGACATCAGAGTGAGCCGCGGGAGCGGAGTCGGAGAGGGAGTGCCCCCCGTCCCCCCCCAGGGCTGGGCACTCAGTGCACTCTGCAGGCGGAGTGGTGGCCGCGGCCTGGGCTGAGGCCACCACCCTGGGCTCTCTTTCAGGCTGAGGCCCATGGTGTCTGCACAGCCAGCCAAGAAGGCAGCCGTAGGAGAGGTACGTTGTGTGGCCACAGCCGGGGGCAGGGGCCCTGGCAGGGAGGGACCGTGGGCTATCCTGGCCCGCACATGGGGGTCCTGAGGCCTGCGGGCGGCAGGGGAGGGGCCCTGGGGGCGGGCAGCCCGGAGCAGGCCTGCCACATCTGCCTCAGGCTGTGCGGCGGAAACAGAGGCTTCCTGGGCGCTCCTGGGTGTGCACGGGCTGGACGGAGGGGCTGCTTGGGAGCTCGGGGGGCTCTGGAGGGTGGGAAGCGTCCAGGAGACGGCAGGGGCCAGTGGGGGCCCAGGCTGGTGCTGTGCCGCCCGTCCCCCAGGGCAGGCAGCTTCCCAGAGCCTGTCCCCTTTGGCTGCAGACCTCGCCCACCCTGGGAGCCGAGCCTGTCAGGCCCGCAGCGGTGGTGGAGAGCGGGCCGGTGTCCTACCACCCCGAGGAGGACCCTGACGAGGACGACCCCGACGAGGAGGACGGGGAGCCCTGTGTCAGCGCCCTGCAGATGATGGGCAGCAACGGTGAGGGGACCCTGCACGCTGGTTGGGGGGCGGCAGGCCGGGGTGGGGTGGGGTGGGGTGCTTCTGAGGAAAGGGCACGAATCCTTTGCCGCCACTCCCCTCACACCCCCACTCCCAGCACCGCGCCGAGGCCTTGGCGGGGGGCGTTTAGACCATCCCTAGACTCCGACCTCTCGGCTTCAAAGGAAATCCTCTTTCACCCCGGAAGGAGGTGGGGACTGAGACGCTTGCAGGCCGGCTGTGTCCGTTCCGCGGGGGGGCCGCCCCCCACTCACAGGGGTCCTCTGCCGGGAGGTGAAGGGCCCTGCAGAGGTGAAGACACCGCCATGGCGGGCCTCAGCGATGGTGGGGGGCCTGAGCACCTCCAGGAGGGGCCGCCCAGGTGGGCAGCGCCGCAGGGTGTCCACGGCTGTCCTCTGTGCCCCACAGATTACGGCTGTGACGGCGAGGAGGAGGAGGGGTACTGAGCCCGCCCTGCAGCCAGCGGCATCTGGCGGGGCTCAGACGGGGCCTCCGTGGGCCCGCCTGCCCTGCGGCCCTCGCCACAGCCGCTCGGGACCCCATCTGGAGCACCGTAAGGAGCGTTTGCCAGCGAGGGGACTGGACCCGTGTCTGCGCGTCCCGTGAGATGTGGGTCTTACAGCCCGGGCACCCTCACAGGTGGCACCGTCTTGTCCCGTGGGAGGACACTGAGGCACGAGGAGGCTCACTCGTGGAAGTGAGTGCCGGACTGGAGGGGCTGAAGCTCCCCACCGGCTGCCCCAGTGCGGCCTCGGCCCCCACCCAGCCCCTCCCGCGCTGCGTCTTCAGCCGGACCCGGACTGTCCCGCGCCTGGCCACAGCCCGGCCGCTGGTGGCCTGAGTCAGCCGCACTCTCAGCAGATGTGGGATGGTCGGCTCCACGCCCCCGGGTGCACAGCTGCTCTGGGGGGTGCCCTGCGCAGCCCGTGTGGCTGGCCTGGGTGTCGGGCTGGCCCTGCGCCGAGCCGGAGTCAGGCAGAGCGGGGTCTTGTTTGAGCTGGGGTCTGGCGCAGGGCCTGCAGAGGGGTGGCGGGCAGAGAGGGTCCTCGAGCCCGGCCGCGCTGCTCTGGAGGGTTCCCACTACCCTCCACCGCCCTGGGGGCCCAGGGACCACTCTCAGGGTCTCAGCGTGGGCATCGCTTCTCTGAACACGGCCAGGGAGGCAGGGCAGATGCTTGTGCCCCTCGAGGCCCAGCCTTGGCCACCCTACCCGTGGCAGAGCCAGGCCACGTCCAGGATGCGGCAGAGTGTGCAGGTAGGGAATTCTGAGGTCCTTGGCTCAGAATCAGAGGTCTGGACCCTGCAGCTCGCCAGGGCCCTAGAAGGCTGGACAGGACCATGAGTTCAGTGAAACAAAAGCCGCTACTTTGAACAGACACCCACTGAGGCTCTGGCCTGTGCTTTCCCGTCTGGCTCCGTGGCCTGCCCTGGAGGGGTGAGGCCATGGCAGGGCGCCCGGCCACTGGGGGTGGGAGAGGCGCATAGAGGCACCTGGCCCTGTTGTCACACGCACAATGGGGACGTGGCTTGGGCTTCATCAGCGCCCCCCTTGTGCCCAGCGCCGTAGGAAGTCCCCGAGTCTGTCCGTGGCGTGGGCTTCACGGCCGGGGCCCCCCGTGGGAAGGAGGGCTTGGCCGCAGCGGCTCTATACCAGCTCTCTGGCTCTGGGGTGTTCACTTTGCCGTTCGGGGGCAGGGTGCGGACCGCCTGGCTGGGATGGTGAGCTCCCGGGACCTCCAGGTGCAGGGCTAGCGGTGGCTCTGGAGGGGATGGAGTCGCCCTCTGGGACACAGGGCTGCCCGTGGGGCGCATGGCAGGCTTCAAGACAGGGCTTGGCGGGATGCCTCCCTGGGGAGCTGGGGCGAGAGCTGAGCTCGCAAAGCAGGGGAGGGAGGGGGTCCCTTGGGGGTTTGCAGAGGGGGAGGGGATTTGAGGGAAGACGCAAGCACTCAGGGTGGCCTGCAGGGCCGAGGCCCGGAGTTGAGGGGACATAATGGGGAGGAAGCCCAGGGAGGCCCGATGGGCAGGGAGGTCTGGGGGTGGATGGCCGGGAGCAGGTGTCTGGCTGAAGCAGGAAGGGTCAGGCCCCCAGATGGCTGGAGACGGGCCCGGGAGCAAGGGCTGGTGGGAAGGGCTGTCCCCTGAGAGGGTGTGGTGAGGAGGGTCACGTGGGTGGGAGGGGGTGCTGGGGATTCGTGCTTTGGTGGTGACCAAGGTGCTGGTGAGGGATGAGGCCCCAGGCCAGCAGCTGGCAGGGTCCTTCTGGCCTCGTGCCCTGTGTGCCGGCTGGAGGGGGACATGCAGGCCAGTCTGCACCTCTGTCCCACATCTGCATGGGGCTCTTCCAGCCGGGGGCACGGCGTGGGGGGCTGTCCCTGGTGGGTACAGGCTCCGGCTAGAGCTCCCCGGCATTCTGCAAAGCTCAGCCCCTTCAGGGCCTTGGTGGCACGGAGCGGACCCTGCAGCTGCTGGGACGGGCCCCCCCGGCACCCGCTTCACCATCCCCTGAGCTGTGTCCCTGCAGGGTCGGCGGAGGAATGGGCATCCTAGAAGCTTGGAGAGGCCTGGGTGCCCGACCAGGGAGAGAGGCAGGGCCCTCAGGAGCCCCCAGTCCAGTGTCCGAGGGCCCGGGGCCTGACTTGGGCTGGGGTCCAGCCCCGAGGAGGGGCATTGGTAGTGGGGGCAGGGACGCCTCACCCCCACTGCACGCTGTTCCCTGCTGGCGAGGCCCCTTGGCGGTGGGCTGCTTCTACCCCGGGCCCCACAGCCTCCCCTGCGGGCTGGACACGTGTGGACCGCTTGCCCTGCTTGAACCACAGCGTGGGTACTGAAGGGCACAGAAGCTGGCACGGAGGGGGCCTCCCTGGCCCGCGTCCTGACAGCCACCCCTTTCCGGGGGCCGGGGCTCGGCCAGCAACCGCAGGCTCGTCCTGAGAAGAGCACAGGGCTTTCCACCACCTCAGCGCAGTGCTGGGAGGGGCAGGGAGGAGGCAGCCTGCCCCCCGTGTGCGAGCCCCTCCCCAGAGCCCTGGAAACCTGTCCGTGCTGACCGTCTAAGGAGCCCGTGTCCACCCGTAAGCACGCACACGTGCCCGTCCCTGGGCCTCCAGAGCTGGAGCCCCAGGCCTGCTGGGCCACTGCCCCTCCCAACACCAGCGAGGCCGGGGTCCCTGTGTGGGGTCCCCAGGCAGCAAGCAGACATGGCCCCGTTCACGCTGCCCCCCCCCCACCACAGTCCAGCTCTGCTTGGCCAGCAGGTCCCCTCCCCAGAGTCGTGTAGGAAGGGCTTGAGTGATGGACAGGCAGCGCCAGCCCGGGCAGAGGGCAGTGCACGAGGACACGCCTGTCCCCACGCGGGCATGCGTGTTCACACGTGCGCTCCCCCTCGTGCCTGTGCATGCCCTCCCTGCACGCACACGTACGCGCGTTCATGTGGGCGCGTTCCCACAGCTCCGTCCACGGCCACCGGACCGCCCTTCCAGGTGCCAGGCCCGGGGAGGCAGGCGGGCCCCAGAGGTGGCTGTGGTCACGTGCCGTGACGGCGCGTCTCCTGGCAGGGCACCCATGGCAGGGCCTGCCCTGGGCCTGCTCCCCGGACAGGAGGGGGATGCCCAAGACCAGGGGTCGTGTCTGCGTGTGGCACCTGCTGGTCACCCGCCCCGCGTGTGCTGTGGGACCTCCCAGCCGTAGGGTTGGGACTACAGGTTACCGTCTGAGAGGGCTTGGGCGGGGGGGGCCGGCTAGAGCCTCCAGGGCCATCCCTGGCGTCCCCAGCAGGCCGCAGGAGCGCGGAGGGCAGGGACAGGTGGGCGGGAGGGAGGTTGGAAGAGCTGTCCCCAGTGGATGGCATCTGCCCAGTCGCTCCACAAGGCCTCCGTCCCACACCTGCCCGGCCAGCTCCCCTCTGCGGTGGCCATGGTCACACAGGCCCACTCGTCCCCTGGCCTTGTGTGCGCTGGGCCCGCACAACGTGCCCCGCGGCTGCCGCTCCCCGCCAGGTGCCCTCCTCTAGCCCCACAGAGGCTTCTGGCCTGGCCGGGCCCCGGAGCGCTCGTCTGCCCACTGCTCCCAGAACCTCCTGAGGGCAGCGTGGGCCTTTGGGAAGAGGGGCAGGCGTTGGCAGCCCCCAGGAATGGAGATCCACTGAGGCAGGGTCTGTGCTCTGCCGCGGAGCCCAATGGGAGCCCTGCGGTGCCCGCTGCGGGGGTAGCACCTCGCCCCTGTGCCCTCCCAGGACCAGGTCTGGGTGGTAGCAACACGTCTGTGCGCCTGCTCCCTCCAGCATCCCGGTGTCCCCTGCTCCTCCGTCCACGCGTGGCGGCTGCGGCACGGACTGAGCTGCTCCGTGGCGCCTTCGCGGCTGAGCCCTGCGCGGCTCCAGGGGCTGCGTGGGGTGCGGGGCTCCTGACGCGGGTGCAGGTCGGGGCCAGCTGCCCGCTCCCATGTCGGAGCAGCTGGGCCCTGGGAAGAGTGTAGGGCGCCCGGCGCCACGCCCGGCACCACCCCCAAGGCTGCAGATGGCCCAGCGGGGCTCTCAGGGACTCGAACTGCAGGCCATACGTGTAACCGCCAGGTGGACGGGGTGCCTAGCAGTCTGTCCTCGCCCCTCCCTGCCCCCTGGTGGCCACTTGGGCACCCTCGGGCGCCCAGGCCAGGGCCCGCCTGGCTTCCCGCAAGGCCTCCCACCCCCTGGGAACCCTGTATTCCCCAAATAATAAAGACTAGGAGCCTCGAAGTGGCAGGACGTCGGCCTGGGTGTGCAGTCTTTGTCCACGGTGCGTCAAGGCCCCGGCCACGGCGTTGGAGGGTCCACCTGGCTGGGCCCCCACCACACACGGGCATCGTAGGCTCACCATCCCCCCATACGCTGGCCCTGTCCCTTCCTGGGCCTGAGGACCCCTTTGCCCAGCAAGGCAGCAAAGATTGGCGCGGAGGGAAGGTGGCCCGAGGCCCCGGCCCTGGAGGTGCAGCAGGAGCCTGGGAATCTGCTGGGCCTCTTGGACCCTCCTCGCCGCCCTGGCCTCCTGACTGCCCCTCCACGCGCGACCATGTTCAGCGGACCATCTGAGCTCTCAGCCTGCAACCCGCTGGACACGACGCCCCAGCTGCTGCAACCCTGAAGAGCCCCCGGTTGTGGCCCCTTCCCCCCGCAGGGCTGGTCTCCGTTACTCAGCCCCCATCCTACAGCCGCACTCCTGGGCAGCCTGGCTCGGCGGGGACTTGCCCTGCTGGGGGCAGGACACTTGGCTTGTGCCCTGTCCTGTCCTGTGAGCGGACTGATGGCCCTTCTTGTGCCCCCCAGCTCCAGCTCCAGCTGCCCGCCCGCACCCAGGCCCCGCGCTGCCCCTCGGCAGGACGCTCAGCCGCTCTGCACGTGTCCCCGGGTCCCTGGGGGATGCCAGAGGGGCCGGTTGGCTCCTGTGAGGAGGGCTCTTGTTTCAGGTTTCCAGGCTTCGCGTGTGGCGGGCAGGTTCCCTGCCTACGTGCTGAGAGGATTGGCTGCTCCCTGGGGAGGCCTGGGCCCCAGCCGGGCTGGCAAAGGTTAGGGGCTAAGGGACCGGCTCCGAAGCTGCAGGCCCTTCAAAGGCGACGTGGGCGGTGGCAGCGTGGAGACTCTTTATGGCCTTCCTGTCGGCAGAGGAACCTGGCTCAGGAAGCCATTGTCCCCCATACAATGGGCCTGGCTGGGCCCTGGGAGGGCAGGGGCCCCAGATTGGTGGAACCTGACCTTGACCCCGATCCACCGCGGATAGTCCCCAGCACCCTGGCATGGCCGCTGCGGCTGGCCCTGGCCAGGAAAGTGGACGGCTGCTCCCGTCTGAGGACTAGGGCATCAGCTCATGGGTGGGCAGCAAGGGACCTTCCATCATAGAGAACAAACTGCTGACGCCATGGAGACTCAGCCAGTGCCCAGCCGTGCCTGCTCTGTCGGACAGCGGGGGGGCTGCCCTTCCCGTGGTGGGGAGGGGCCTTGGCACCAGCCAGCCTGAGTCATCGCCCCCGCCTTCGGAGGTCATTGTCTGCCAGGTACGAACTCGGTGGGGCCTGGGAAAATGACTGGCCGGCCCCACCGCAGGGGGTGAGCAGAGCAGGCAGCTACGGGCTAGGCCTCGGGCCGGAGGCCACAGGGCATGGGGCCAATGCCCCAGCGGGGCCTGACTGCAGGTGGTCACAGGGCCTGGCAGAGGGCGGTGGGCCCAGGGCTGGAGCCAGGAGCCACCTGGGCCCATGTGGGCACCACACTCAGGTGCACACTCTACTCAGGCGCACAGAGACACGTGCATGTCATGTCCGTGATGGGAAATGGAGATGACCCTTTATGCCTCTGAACCACCCCTCTGCGGCGTGCACTCACCCGCCCCTAGGTCTCCCCGGGGCCTCGCCACCCCTGGACTCCCTGCAGAAGCCCCTTACCTGAAGGAGGAGGTTTCCTCCGACCACACGCAGGGCTGTGGAGAATACAGATTTCCCATCCGTTGGCTCACAGATGTGTGCGTCCAGCCAGGATCGGCCAAAGCCTCACAGCAAAGCATTTACTGTGAGGTGGGCCGTGGGGACCTGGCAGGGAGGGAATCGGGAAATCCAGCAGACTGGGTGGGGGGGCGGGCTGAGAAGAACAGGTGTGCAGCCAACCGGACCACTGGTGGATGGGGAGCCCGGGCAGGGTCTGAGGTAGGCCCTGTGGGGGCGGGGGCAGCAGGTTTGGGGGTCTGTAGAGTGTGCAGGGCAGCTGGTAGAAGAGTCTAGGATGACAGGCCAAAGAAAAGGGGTAGCCGTCTGGAGCTCATCGGCCTACGGGGGCGTCCAAGGCGCCCTCAGGGCAACCCCGGCCTGCCCCTGGGCGGGGCTGCTCTTCATCTGACCCCAGCCTGGGGATGTGAGTGCCGGGGGAGGGGGCGTGGTCACAGGGCTGGAAGGATCAGGCATGCACACAAGGTTCAGGGCCGCGCGGAGCAACCTGGCCCCTGCCCCGCGGGCCCTGTCCCGGTAGGGGCTGCCGGCCCAGCCAGCAGGTGGCGCTGCAGGACAGTGAGGAAGCGAGCCCTCGCGCGCCCCGCTGTGCATGCGCTCGTGTGGGTCAGGGCCCTGAGGAGCCCACCCTGGGAGGAAGGAGCCCGCCCCGGTGCCTGGCTCCTTCGCCATTTACATTTGCACCAGGTGGTCCCCTGTTGCGGGCAGAGGGGCTCCTCGTGATCAGACCAAGAAGACCTCCCAGGCCCTCTCCACTCTCCTCCGCTTTGCTTCCTGTGTTACCTGCAGTGTCCCCAGGCTGGGTGAGGGGTGGGTTCTGCAGTGGGCAGCAGGCTCTTCAGTGGTTCAGTATTCGTGGAAGCATTCGTGGAAGCCTCCAAGTTCCATGGAGAGGTGATATCCCTTGGGAAGTCGTGGGGTGAGGGGGGTGTAGGGGTTAGCCAAGAAGACTTCCTGCTGGAGGAGGGGTCCACACTGGGACCCAAAGGAAGAGAAGCTGGTGACCTGGGGTCAGTGACAGAGGGCAAGGGTGAGAAAGGAGAGATTTGGTAAAAGCTTCTGAGGGTGGAAGGGGTCAGGGTCCCAAAGGATGGGGAGTCACGTTTCTCGCAGAATGGGGGGGAGGGGACTGCCGAGCCAGCAGGTGGAGAGCAAGGATGTGGCCAAAGAGGTGGGGGGAGGAGGAGGTGTATGCTAGATCCAGGTGGGCCCTACAGGCCTGGCTGCTCACCCTACTGGCTTTGGGCAACTTGGGATTGCAGGGAAGGCAGACAACCCTGGTGGCTGGGGTTGGGGGAGGGAGGGACCAAGCATTTCCTGAGGGCAGAGCTGGCCCCTAAAACATGGGGAAGATGATGGGTGAAGAGTGGCGGAAGGGCAGTCCTAGGGCACCTGGGAATGGGGTTCAGAGTGGCCTTGCCAGGTAGGTGCAGGCTTGGGTGGGAGCAGGGGGGCACAGGTGGGGGAGGGGTGTGTGTAGGGGGGGGGCAGGGTGTCCCCAGGCCAGGCTCCCAGTGAGTCACTGCTGACCCGTCGTCCCGGCGCCGTGGGGGCCCAGGCTGGGCTGGCCGCAGGAAGCTGATAAAGGGCCAGAGTCAAAAGCCTCCAGGCCTCCCACTTCCTGCAGCCCCAGTGGCAGGGCGCGGTGCTGGGGAGGGGGGGCGGGGGGCTGGCAGGCATCTGCTGATACAGGCCCAGGTGTCCATGGCCTGGCCTGGATGGCCCACAAAACCACACAAACCATGACCCGTGACGGCCCGGCTGTGCCTGCTCAGGATGTAGTCAGGGTCGCTGTGGTGGGCACAGGGAGCCCCGGGCAGGAGGGACAGCCGCAGCCCCGAGGAGTCAGATCCGGGGCACAGTGGAAAGGGTGGCCAGGGCCAGGACTGGGGGTGCGGAAGAGCATGGCAGGCAGGTGGGTGCGTGTTTACCTGACAGTCGGGCCACGTCCACCCCAAGGTCAGGTGTGTGACCGCCTGCCCAGGCTCAGAGGGGTCAGGGTGAACTCAGGTCACCCAGGAGTTGGGGTGCTGGGGGGAGGTAGGCCGGGCAGGAGGGCACCCCAGGGCACCCCTCCCAGTTACTGCAGCCCTATGCACCCCAGCACGCGTGCCATGCGCCGCGGGACAGCCCCCCAGCAGGGACATCACCGTGAAGGACAGCGACCTCCCCCCACGCCACTCCAGCTGGTCCTGCTTCACCGGGGCCACATGCCAGCACCGCCATCCCCACCGTCGCCCCACCGACCCAACCTCCGGGACCCTGGCAGAGTCACCACGCGCGCCCTCCCTGCCAGGGATGGCAACCGAGGCCACCTTCTCCAAAGCCACTGCCACTATCACGGAGACGCGTCCCACCCAAACCAGGCGACGGACGCGCAGCGAGGCGCCGACGTGCCCGAGCAGCAGGACTTCGGATGCGTTTGGGGGGAAAGAGCAAACGTCACGCCCTCTGCACAGCGTGGCCTCCCTCGTCCGCGCAAGGGCCCGGCTGGCCGCACGCCGTCCCGCACTTCCGGGGCCCCCGCGGGGGCGGGGCCGCTCCGCCGCGGGCTCCCGGATTGGCCCCCGCGCTGCCGGCAGGGGCGGGCCTGCCGCCCATTGGCCCGCAGCCGGAGGGGCGGGGCCGCCGCCAGCCCCGCGCGGCCGCCGCCGCGGGCCGGGGAGCCGGGGGAGCCCGCGGACGCCGGGGCGATGCGGAGGGCCGGGCCGGGCCGGGCCGAGCCGAGCCGGGCGTCCGTCCCCGCGCCGGGCGCCGCGGAGCAGGGCCTTATCAGCGCGGGCAGCTGGCGGCCCGTCCGTGCGCGAGCGCCCCGGCCCAATTCAATGGCCATTGTCCGCCGGCCCCTTTGTTCAGGAGGCGGCCACTTCCTGCGAGGCCGGGCTGGGACGGGAGGGCAGGAAACGCTCCGAGCCGAGCCGAGGCCCAGACGCCGAGGCCGCCCCAGCCCGGGGTCAGAGGCGACGGCCACCTGCCCGGGGGCGCCCTGGGCTTGGGGCCGGGGCCCGGCAGGGCTCCGCCCAGCGCTCAGCTCGGAGTCGCGGGGGGCCCCGTCGGCAGGGTGGGCGCCCCGGGCGCGGGCCTGCGCGTCCCCTCCTGGGAGGCGGGGGTGGGGGCTGGGCCTATGAGATCAGATCCTGGAGGGCGGGGGGAGGGGTAGAGGAAGCCGGAGGGATATCCTCAGGCACAGGGCTGCCCCTCCCAGGCTGCTCTCTTCCCCAGTCGGTGGCGGGGGATGACAGGATTCCAGAGGCTAAGAAGAGCATCAGGCAG